TTCGTTTTTTTTCGTTTTCGGGCGAAAAAATAAGTTTCTCCAATCTTCTCAAAACTCTGGATTATGATAGAGGGCCATGAGACTTAGACCTGAGTGCAAAAATGGAGGCTCTAGCCCCTTCCAGAGCTGAGATATCGAAACTCAAAAATTCGCCCCGAAAAAAAAACGACAGTGTTACCCCTTACGTTGTTTTTTTTTCGGGCGAAAAAGTAAGTTTCTTCAATCTTCCCAAAACTCTGGATTCTGATAGAGGGCCATGAGACTTAGACCTGAGTGCAAAATGGAGGCTCTAGCCCCTTCCAGAGCTGAGATATCGAAACTCAAAAATTCGGCCCGAAAAAAAAACGACAGTGGTACCCCTTACGTTTTTTTTTTTCGGGCGAAAAATTAAGTTTCTCCAATCTTCCGAAAACTCTGGATTCTGAGAGAAGGCCATGAGACTTAGACCTGAGTGCAAAATGGAGGCTCTAGCCCCTTCCAGAGGTGAGATATCGAAACTCAAAAAATTCGGCCCGAAAAAAAAACGACTTTGACCTGAGTGCAAAAATGGAGGCTCTAGCCCCTTCCAGAGCTGAGATATCGAAACTCAAAAATTCGGCCCGAAAAAAAAAACGACAGTGGTACCCCTTACGTTTTTTTTTTTTGGGTGAAAAATTAAGTTTCTCCAATCTTCTCAAAACTCTGGATTCTGATAGAGGGTAATGAGATTTAAATTTGAGTGCAAAAATGGAGGCTCTGGCCCCTTCCAGAGCTAAGGTATCGAAACTCAAAAATTTGACCCAAAAAAAAAATGACAGTGGTACCCCTTTCGTTTTTTTTTTTCGGGCGAAAAATTAAGTTTATCCAATCTTCCCAAAACTCTGGATTCTGATAGAGGGCCATGAGACTTAGACCTGAGTGCAAAAATGGAGGCTCTAGCCCCTTCCAGAGCTGAGATATCGAAACTCAAAAATTCGCCCCGAAAAAAAAACGACAGTGGTACCCCTTACGTTTTTTTTTTTCGGGCGAAAAATTAAGTTTCTCCAATCTTCCGAAAACTCTGGATTCTGAGAGAAGGCCATGAGACTTAGACCTGAGTGCAAAATGGAGGCTCTAGCCCCTTCCAGAGGTGAGATATCGAAACTCAAAAAATTCGGCCCGAAAAAAAAAACGACTTAGACCTGAGTGCAAAAATGGAGGCTCTAGCCCCTTCCAGAGCTGATATATCGAAACTCAAAAATTCGGCCCGAAAAAAAAAACGACAGTGGTACCCCTTACGGTTTTTTTTTTTCCGGCGAAAAATTAAGTTTATTCAATCTTCCCAAAACTCTGGATTCTGATAGAGGGCCATGCGACTTAGACCTGAGTGCAAAATGGAGGCTCTAGCCCCTTCCAGAGCTGAGATATCGAAACTCAAAAATTCGGCCCGAAAAAAAAAACTACAGTGGTATCCCTTAGTTTTTTTTTTTTTTTTTTCGGGCGAAAAATTACGTTTCTTCAATCTTCCCAAAACTCTGGATTCTGATAGAGGGCCATGAGACTTAGACCTGAGTGCAAAATGGAGGCTCTAGCCCCTTCCAGAGCTGAGATATCGAAACTCAAAAATTGGCCCGAATAAAAAACGACAGTGGTACCCCTTACGTTTTTTTTTTTTTCGGGCGAAAAATTAAGTTTCTCCAATCTTCCCAAAACTCTGGATTCTGATAGAGGGCCATGAGACTTCGACCTGAGTTCAAAATTGAGGCTCTAGCCCCTTCCAGAGCTGAGATATCGAAACTCAAAAATTCGGCCCGAAAAAAAAAAACGACAGTGGTACCCCTTACGTGTTTTTTTTTTCGTGCGAAAAATTAAGTTTCTCCAATCTTCCGAAAACTCTCGATTCTGATAGAGGGCCATGAGTCTTAGACCTGAGTGCAAAAATGGAGGCTCTAGCCCCTTCCAGAGCTGAGATATCGAAACTCAAAAATTCGGCCCGAAAAAAAAAACGACAGTGGTACCCCTTCCTTTTTTTTTTTTCGGGCGAAAAATTAAGTTTTTCCAATCTTCCCAAAATTCTGGATTCTGATAGAGGGCCATGAGACTTAGACCTGAGTGGAAAATGGAGGCTCTAGCCCCTTCCAGAGCTGAGATATCGAAACTCCAAATTTTGGCCAGAAAAAAAAAACGACAGTGGTACCCCTTACGTTTTTTTTTTTTCGGTTGAAAAATTAAGTTTCTCCAATCTTCCCCAAACTCTGGATTCTGATAGAGGGCCATGGGACTTAGACCTGAGTGCAAAAATTGAGTCTCTAGCCCCTTCCAGAGCTGAGATATCGAAACTCAAAAATTCGGCCAGAAAAAAAAACGACAGTGGTACCCCTTACGTTTTTTTTTTTTTGGGTGAAAAATTTAGTTTCTCCAATCTTCTCAAAACTCTGGATTCTGATAGAGGGCCATGAGATTTAAACTTGAGTGCAAAAATGGAGGCTCTAGCCCCTTCCAGAGCTGAGGTATCGAAACTCAAAAATTCGACCCAAAAAAAAAAACGACAGTGGTACCCCTTTCGTTTTTTTTTTTCGGGCGAAAAATTAAGTTTATCCAATCTTCCCAAAACTCTGGATTCTGATAGAGGGCCATGAGACTTAGACCTGAGTGCAAAAATGGAGGCTCTAGCCCCTTCCAGAGCTGAGATATCGAAACTCAAAAATTCGGCCCGAAAAAAAAAACGACAGTGGTACCCCTTACGTTTTTTTTTTTTTCGGGCGAAAAATTAAGTTTCTCCAATCTTCCGAAAACTCTGGATTCTGATAGAAGGCCATAAGACTTCGACCGGAGTGCAAAATGGAGGCTCTAGCCCCTTCCAGAGCTGAGATATCGAAACTCAAAAAATTCGGCCCGAAAAAAAAACGACAGTGGTACCACTTACGTGTTTTTTTTTTTCGGGCGAAAAATTAAGTTTCTCCAATCTTCCGAAAACTCTCGATTCTGATAGAGGGCCATGAGACTTAGACCTGAGTGCAAAAATGGAGGCTCTAGCCCCTTCCAGAGCTGAGATATCGAAACTCCAAATTTTGGCCAGAAAAAAAAAACGACAGTGGTACCCCTTACGTTTTTTTTTTTTTTTCGGTTGAAAAATTAAGTTCCTCCAATCTTCTCAAAACTCTGGATTCTGATAGAGGGCCATGAGACTTGAGGCATTCCGTTGATTCCGCTAATCCGCTCCAGGTTTTCCCGCTCGCTCCGCAGTCCGCTCTGCGCATCGTATGTCTGCGGCCCTCTCTTGAATACGACAGTTCACGAAAGCTGTTGCATTAACAGGTAGGCTATGCAAGACTATGGAAGCTTGTTTCCGCCACAGAATGAAAAATAAAAAAGGCAATTGCAACTTTTTATCTCACAATTCTGACTTTTATTCTTACAATTGCGAGTTTACATTAGTTTGAGAAATAAAGTCAGAATTGCAAGATATGAAGTCAGATTTGCGTGATATAAAGTCAGAAATGGGTGTTATAATATAATATAAATATATAGATATAAATAAATATAAATAAATATATAAATATAAATATAAAGTCACAATTGCGTGTTATAAAGTCAGAATTGCGAGATATAAACTATTCCGAGTTTATATTTCGAATTTCATACATCTTTTCTCAGAATTGATACTTGCAAAATGCGAGTATCAATTCTGAGAAAAGATGTATGAAATTCGAAATATAAACTCGCAATTATGTGTTATAAAGTCAGAATGGGCTTTATGCACAGCTGCACTACTTCCTGAACTTCAGCCAGCTCCTTGTTTCCTGTCTGCCATTATTGGTCAAATTGATTAATTCAGGTGTGCTTGACCTCAGTAGTCACGGCAACAATAATCAGACACACCTGAATTAATCAAGTTCGGCCAATAATGGCAGACAGGAAACAAGGAGCTGGCTGAAGTTCAGGAAGTAGTGCAGCTGGGCATAAAGCCAATTGCGAGATGTAAACTAACAATTGTGAGAACAAAGTCGCAATTCTGTTTTTTTTTCTCTTCGAATTGCGACTTTATAACACGCAATTCTGACTTTATATCTCGCAATTCTGGCTTTATATCTCGCAATTCTGGCTTTATATCATGAAATTCTGGCTTTATATCACGCAGTTCTGACTTTATATCACGCAATTCTGGCTTTATATCTCGCAATTCTGACTTTATATCACGCAATTCTGGCTTTATATCACGCAATTCTGACTTTATTTCTCACAATTCTGACTTCATATCTCACAATTTTGAGATAAAAAGTCGCTATTTTTATTCAGTAGCGGAAACAAGCTTCCATAATAGACAGTGGTTGAATCTGCGAAATTATTCATTATTTTTTTTTGTTTGTTTTTGTGCATTTATGTCGGTAATGTTTTGCTCTTGGTCTTCTACTAGTGCTAACAACTTGTACAACATATTCACGTTCTAGAATTAGCTGCTTGTCTAATCAAATTATTGTACTCTCTCTCTCTCGATCTAATACAAATAATAGCCTAAGTATCTATCTATGTTAGATCTAGATCTAGCCGATCTATGTTAAATAGTTTAACAAACATTAAATAAATGGTTAAACTGAAATTATACTTGCTTACATTTGAAAGCATATTGCCGTTATCACTCCGACTCCGCTAACGGTCGACATTTTTTTATTTTTTGAACAAGATAGCAAAGCTGCGCATAGGATTGTGGGTGATTTAAGAGCGCGAAGGCTACACATATGCATCCTTTCCTGTGTATGGGATATTTTCCGAACGAAGGACTCAGTCCTTGAAATTCTGAGGATCCTCGACATTGGAACAGTCCTCGATGGACGTCGATGACGTCCTCGAAATTCCGGCTTCCGAGGATCCTTCCTTGACATTGAGAAACGCCTCGTGTATACTTTTGGTTAGGATCATGGCAAGCCAAGAGGTTCAGAATTACACCATAAATTAATCGCGTTTACTGCCATATTTATTAACATATAGTAAGGATAAGCATGATGTGTATATTGCCTAATTGCAAGCTTGTTTCAGAAATGGTGACTTTTTTTTTCCCCATCATTATTGAACATCATTATAGGAGTATTAGGTTGAATGAGTTAGAATTAAATGTTTTATTAATCATTAGAAAATAGACATTAAGAAAATAAATTATGCAAGTACTTTTACTTTTAATACTTAGCCTACATTTAAAATCAGGTACTTTTTACTTTTTACTTAAGTATGGTTGTCATTGTGTTACTTCTACTTTTACTAAAGTAAATATTTATCTGGTTATTTGTATTTTTACTTAAGTACTGAGATTCAGTACTTCCTCCACCACTGACACTATAACAGAACATCAGTTTGTATTATACATTTGGTAAAAGGATTGAAAGTACACAAATCTTAGTGGTCTTCAGTGGGTTCATTCATTTTCATTTTCTCCACGTCCTCCTGCTTGTCATGATGTTTAATGAGATTTTTCCTATTCAATATGATAAAAACACATGATTGATTTGGTTAATGAACACAACTTCAACTTTCCATGTATCCTTTAAGTGTTTTAAATAGAGATTAAATGTCCCTATATTGATCCTAATATTCAAGCTAATTCTCTTAAATAATCTTAGAATAATTGAGGGGTTTGTATTTTAAATGCTTGACTTGACAGAGTTGCTCAAATGTTCAGCAGTGTGTTAAATACAAGTCCACTATAGCTGCTTTACTCACCCAGTACCCTCGACATCCTCTATGGTCTCGGGTAGACACCTGCCTCTTGTCTCAGGTAACTGCCAAGCCACCAGACAAGCGACAAATGCCACAGAACACAGGATGGTCTGAGAGAAGTGACCCCAGAAACTGTCCAAAAGCAGGACTAGAGGAGCCACAGACACACCCAGACGGGCCAGGAACGAGTTATAGCCCATCCCATTTTGCCTATAGGACCCAATAAAGTAAATTCTTTATTTATATACTATGCATTGACATACATTTTGCACTTTGTGGTCAAAATTCTGGAACAAGAAGAAGAAGAAGTCTCGTATGCTCACCAAGGTTGCATTTTATTAAAAATAAAAACAATATTCTGAAGTAGAAGTGTTTATATTTTGAATATATTAAAAAATATAATTTGTCCCTGTGTTGGCAAAACACTTTTTTTAATGTTTCACATGATACTTCAGATATTATTCTAATTTGCTGATTTGCTGCTCAAGAAATATTTTTTATTACAATTTACTATCAATGTACAACGTGCGATCTCATGAGAATACGCATGTATTTGTACGTAAAGTGTCGTTCTATCATACGTATATATAATTACGTTTTATATGCGCAGAAACGTGTAATACTGAGGTATTTACAGTACTAAAACGTAAAATATTTCCGTATTGACAGCATAAAAACGTAATTTATTTACGTATGAACAAATCCACCGACGTACATTGTATATCACAATGTAGGCTATGCATATTAGCATTATGTTTTGACTCTATTGCATTCCACTGTTATTAATGAAGTTTTCAGTCGCATTTATTGATATAATACATATTAACATGTTGCTCGTTTCGCCTGCATGGTGTTAAACAATACACTATAAAACACATTCTTTAACGTTACTCGTTCAACCATTTTGTAATAGTTTATTTACCTTGAGACACATAAAGCGTTTTCTCCTATAAAACACAACAAAAATTCACAAAAGACATCAATTTTATTAGTTTGATGTAATCCAAATTTCATCATCATGTGCCACCAGCAAGGCTTCATCATGTGAACGGCTTTTGGTATCGCATCGGTTTTGACATTTCGCAAAAAATAAATTATTGTGATTATACAATGTCTGTTAGTTATGTTTTTCTTCTTAATTGTACTTTGTTATGTAGTTTTAAAGAATTGTTATGGGTAGGTTTAGGGGTAGGAGTAGGATTGGTGGCTCAAAATATATTTTAATGCTATTGTTAATAAAACTGCCCTTTCTCAACACCTGTCCGCTACGTTTTATCCTTTTTTATATTAAGTATAAAATGGGTATGTTTAGGTTTGGGATTAGGGTTACGGGATCTTGCATTTATCTATAAAATGGTAAAAGGGAAATTAAACAGATATCTTTATGATATAGAATATACGTAAATAGTTTACGTTTTGAAGCTGTAAAAACGTAATAATGTTACATTTAAATGTTGCAGATGCGTCTATATTATACGTTTCAGCCTCTGTCCAAAGGTAGCCTACTAAAAAGTACGTTTTCTATCTTTGCAAAAACGTAAAATTACGTATTAACAATGAGACCAGGCTGCAATGTAACCAGTGTGCTGCTTAATATTTTTTGATACAGTATCATTTAAAAGTTTGAGGTAAGAAAGATTTAAAATAAAGCTCTGCTTTATTAAAAATGACAGTAAAGACATGTATAATGTTACAATATATATATTTCAAATAACTACTGTTCTTTTAAATTTTATTACAGAAATTAAGCAGTTTTCAACATTGTTAATAATAAGAACCATTGTTAATCAGTAATGGAGTATCAATAATGCAAAATAAAACAGTGCAGTTATATTTATAATAATGCAAATATAATTACATTTTATATAATAATAGACTATTAATAATAGTAATATAAAAATCAAGTAATTTAAAGATTTTATTTTGAAGTGTAAAATACATATTTAATAATATGTTCCGTTACCTGAGAACAGTGGGGTAAAGCTCCGAGCTGAATAATACAATTGTAGAAAAAGCAGCAACTGCGAATCCTTTACCCAGTACTGCCACCACTGTACGACCAATCCACTGATCTGTGTGTGAAAGAAATGGTATTGAGCACGGTGTCTGTGACTGAATAAACAAATAAAAGCCCTCTAGTAGTTTCCCCAAGTGACTGTCATTTAATCACATGTAGCCTACATACTTGTACAACTGTTGAAATTGCAGATTTATTCAGGAATGAAACAAGGTAATGTCCTTATGAGTGAGGTTCATTTAAAAACGCTGATTCGACGGCACCGATAGCCTCACGGGCAGCGCGCTAACATACAGTATAGCGCCCTTGTGCTTCGGATGACACGAGTTCGAATCTCGGCTCGTTGACATTTCCCAGTCCCGTATCCCGTCTCTCTCCCATCTCCCTTCCTGTCCACTCTACACTATTCTGTCACAATAAAAAAACGCGGATTCATTCAGGAACAATACACCACTATGCTCATGTGCAACATTTTACTTTGGCTTAATTTGTTTGGAACGGTTTTCGTCGACAGAGCAAAAAAACAAGGTAACTGTCAATATGGTGTCTAAAATATAGGCCGAATGCAATCTTAGGGCCGGTTCACATATCGCGTCTTTTGCGCGCTCAAGTTCGTTATTTCAAATGTAGGCGCGCGGTATGCGCGCTCATAATGGAAGCGACGCGGTCGCGGTGCGACGCGCTCGTTTTTTCCAGGCGCGTCCGCGCCGCATCGAGATAAAAACATCTCAACTTTTCAGAATGCCGCAAGCGCACCGTAGGTCACGTGTCACGTCAACCAATCAGTTTCCTCGCCATTTTTGTTACCTCTTCTTAAAATATAATCAAACTGGTCCTTGTCCACTCTGAAATAGGCTTTGAACCTCCCATTGTCCAGGCGGAGTTCCTGAATCAGCTGGTGAAATTCCCCATGGTTCTTGCGTTTTTGTAGTAGGCTATGGGGTGCACCCAAACACTGCGGCGTTTTTTTTTACTTTTCTGAGTAAATAAATCTTGTAACAGAGTTACAGCAAAGGTTTTTCGGTGGTGGAAATCCATTTCTGAAATTTCCTTCATGTAATGGAGAGCGCAGCTGATGGTTGCTTAGCAACGACAGACGCCTCCGGAGTGCAACCGCCCTAGCGCTTCTTTGGAAAAATGAGAACGCGTGCGCCTAGCGTTTTCTACGCGTTTTTAGGCGCGATATGTGAACGGCCCCTTAACGTCTTGTTTATTCATCTTTTAAAAGAAATCGTGCTGTTTTAGATATGCGAGAACAACAGGACTGGTTTGCTCCTTGATAATGTGCAATCATGTGGTTTTGCTAGTCTCACCTTTGGGTATGAATATGTTGATCATAAGACTGATTCCAGCCAATAGATGAGCTCCTGCTTCAGTTTTACGTCTGCCGATCTTCTCCAGCAGGTAATATACGAGCAGTTTAGATGGAACCTCAATGGCCCCATACACAAACTGAGTGAGGTACATATTTAGTCCAAAGCCTGTGATGTTGAGGCTTATACCATAGGTTATAGTGGCAACACAAAACCTGCAAGAGAAATGTCATTAAATATAATTTATTATTCAAACAATGAAGTCTGAAATTTTTTCTAATCTAGTGCAGCTGAAGGCGGTCAACAGCCAGGTTCCAAAAGTAAAAATCTGGATTTTAAATATCTCAGCTCTGGAAGGGTCTAGAGCCTCAATTTTTACACCCAGGTCTAAGTCTCATGGCCCTCTATCAGAATTTTGAGAAAATTGGAGAAACTTATTTTTTCGCATCGAAAAAAAAAAAACGACAGGGGTACCACTGTCGTTTTTTTGGGGGGTCGAAATTTTGAGTTTCTCTGATCTTCTTGAAACTCTGGATTCTGATAGACGGCCATGAGACTTAGACCTGAGTGCAAAAATTGAGGCTCTTGTCTAGACCCTTCCAGAGGTGAGATATTGAGATTTTAATAATGGCATAAATGCTACGTGGGATCTCAATATCTCAGCTCTGGAAGGGTCTAGAGACTCCATTTTTGCACTCAGGTCTAAGTCTCATGGCCCTCTATCAGAATCCAGAATTTTGAGAAGATTGGAGAAACTTATTTTTTTCGCACAAAAAAAAAAAACGACAGGGGTACCACTGTCATTTTTTTGGGGGGGGTCGAAATTTTGAGTTTCTCTGATCTTCAGGAAACTCTGGATTCTGATAGAGGAACATGGGACTTAGACCTGGGTGCAAAAATGGAGGCTCTAGACCCTTCCAGAGCTGAGATATTGAGATATTTACAATGGCATAAATGATACGTGGGATCTCAGTATCTCAGCTCTGGAAGGGTCTAGAGACTCCATTTTTGCACTCAGGTCTAAGTCTCACAGCCCTCTATCAGAATCCAGAGTTTTGAGAAGATTGGAGAAACTTATTTTTTCGCATCGAAATAAAAAAACGACAGGGGTACCACTGATTTGGTTTTCGAAATTTTGAGTTTCTCTGATCTTCTTGAAACTCTGGATTCTGATAGAGGGCCATGAGACTTAGACCTGAGTGCAAAAATTGAGACTCTAGTCTAGACCCTTCCAGAGCTGAGATATTGGGATTTTTATAATATCATAAATGCTACGTGGGATCTCAATATCTCAGCTCTGGAAGGGTCTAGAGACTCCATTTTCTCATGGCCCTCTATCAGAATCCAGAGTTTTGAGAAGATTGGAGAAACTTATTTTTTCGCACAGAAAAAATTTTGAGTTTCTCTGATTTTCTTAAAAACTCTGGATTATGATAGGGCCATGAGAGGTTAGTTGTTGTGGGAAGGAGGCGGGAACGTCGACGCTCCCTGTTGCTTTCGCTCCTCCGTGAGAGACGCGAGACTGGCGCGCGCCTTACAGGTGTCTTTCATTATCACTCACGCCACCGGCCTCGTGCAGCGCGCCGTCCTCGTCCCTCGCCCTCGATCATCCTGCTCGCCACAGCCAACTAACTAGACAATTTGAGTGAAATGAACTTCAAACTCTGGTGGCTTGCTAAGCTGTGCAATGCGGTGCATTGTGGGACAAATGCGCACCTTGGTTATTTTCTGTGTTTTCTCGGTCAAGAGGGCACCAAATTAAAAAAAAAATCTTTTACATTTCGACTACATACTGTACAGTATATAGGCTATGATCCACTTTCAATAAAGATTAATGTTGCAATGGGTAAAATGCTCCTTTCAATTTAAATATCAGAAAAAATTATATATATATATATATATATATATATATATATATATAACATTTAGATTTTAATCTGCATATAGGATGGACATCTGTTCTGCTCATTTTTGCTCACTGATTTGAAGGCTTTTTGAGTAAAACAGCTCTATATTTAATTAAGCACACAGAAGAACCATAAGCAGTGCAAACTGATTTACAGAATGTTACATACCAAATGGTTCCTGTGAGCATAGCCAGTCTCCTAATCTTAGGGGTTCTGACAAGGTCCAGGTACGAATATTTTTTCTTTCCTTGATCTGTTATTATGATAGAGAGAGCCTATAGAAGAAAGACATAGCTATAGTTGCCTACTGACAGATAGTTGTTTTAAATTGCGTCAATCCAGCATGTATTGTAAAATTGAAAATATATATTTTCTCTCACCTCAGGTGTGATTCTTGAGATAACTTCCTCCTTGTGATTCATGACAGCACATTTATGAAGATAAAAATGAGCTCTTTCTGCCTTCCCATTGGCTATTAGCCACCGAGCCGACTCTGGAACCCACCTAGATAAGAAACATTTGCTCTATAAAACATTGTTAGGGTTCTTTCAGACAGAATGCATTTTTGCATTACACTCCTCTGCTTTTTCATGGTTTTCTAGACAGACAAGTTTGACCGTTGCTCTCGCGTCTTCTGCATTCATCACATGCATAAAACAGCATTCTAAAAACGTGGCACTCAAGTTAAAACTTCATCTTTTAAAAAAATGATGCTGCATTCGAAAACGCATATTAAGTAAATTCTACATTTGGTTTGAAATATACTTAGCAACTTTTTAAAAAAGTGTGTTGTATAGGATGAATATGTGAAGTAGGAATGAAATTCAGATTGATCGATGAATTCATGTGACCGATGGCATTTAGTTGCATTGCTTCACTACCATTCATAAATCAGCCCCGTGGCCTCATGGGATTGTAAAGTCTCCAGTGGCATGAGCACTTCAGAATCAAGTACTTGGACACATGCAGGGCATGTCTTTAGACATACGCTGTACTGACTAATTTGTGTTTTAAATTAGACCGAAAGAAAATGTAAGGCCCATTACCACCAGAGGACTGTGGACAGTAGTAAAGGTGAAGTGACGGCCACAGTCAGCCATCTCCAGTCTCTGATACAGAACGCAATAAGAGACAATGAGGTGCTCCCAACAGCCCATGCCATACTGTCAATTATACATACTAGTCTCCTGTGCTGAATGTCCACCCATTCCACATCTGGAGAAAGACACGTATATATGATAAGGCCCTTTTCCTTTGTTTTACATTCACTTTCAATCATAATGAGGCATTGACACTGAGAGAGAGAGGTTCTTACTGAGTATGGTTGAGATGATAACGATGCCAGTGATGGTGAATCCACTAAAGAATCTCAGCACTGCAAACATGATGAAGGAGGAAGAAAAGATGCTGGCCAATGCAAAAGCCATTCCTGATATATACGACACCAGCAGCATTGGCTTACGCCCAAATCTACAAGCCAAATAGGGTATGTTTTTTTTATACACAACATTTCATGCTTTTGGCTGTGTTCATAAAATATACACAGATCTATTTTCAATGAAACATCACCTGTCACTCATGCCTCCAAAAAAAGCTGCTCCAAACATCACTCCGACAAAGAAGATTGTGGCCACAGCTTTATTCAGACCTCTGTTATCACATACTAGATCCCACTGTGAAATGAAGAGAGATGGAAAATAACTGTTAAAATAACTGTTGTGATGAACTGCTTCCTGAACTAGAAGACTTTCAAAACGTAAATGTAGATGTGCATGAACCTGCAACCATTAATTTGTCACATTACCCATTTTTGAAAATTACGTTTTCATTTCACATTATCTTCAACCAAGTCTGCAAACGTGCTAGCGCATTGTATGGTTTACATTACCAAATGCTAAACACAGATCTATACATTAGACACATTATTCAAAACTAACAGCTCTTGTGTTTCATTTGGAAAACACTGCCATTGAAATGCCACATTCATATTCCTCATGTTACCTACACCTCATGATCATGTGTAACAAAAGAAAAAAAAAAAAAATCGAAATCAAACCTCAATGTTTTGGGAAAGAAATTATTTTACCCCATTGCATTTCCGTTTAAAGCAAATATGCTCAATTTGATCACTTAGAAATCAAAACAAAAATGTTTACCCTAGCATTTATGTATATTTTGTAATTATGTACTGAATACCCATACAAGTCAAGTCACCTTTATTTCTACACAACATATTGTTTAAAAAATCAGCTTCACAAGAACAGATGCAAATGATCAAATAGGGGATTATCACGCTGATACGTAGTACTTCCGGATTCAGCCACTTCCGTTGAATTACCGATCTCACTGGCGAACTGATGACAGACTACACTAAGTTTATTTATAAGTCATCCCTGGTAAATTAGTCTGATTCACTAAAGTGCTGGCTGCAAATAAACGTGCTACCTTGTTTTATTTGAAAGTTTTAATCCACTTCTTCCTTATACTCAATTCAGTCGGGAATCCATGAAAACTTAAGTAGGGTTGGCATTGTTGGTTAGATTTACAAAGTGGAACAGAGCAGTGACATATATAGCCTTCGTCTCAGGCATTGTTGAACTGCATCGGAAGTGGACATGCACAAAGTTGACAAATCCCGCGCATGAAACCCGGAAGCGTGATAATCCCCTATTCTGTTGTAAAGCAGCATAACAAGCCAAAATTATTATACAGCTCAAGTCAGTTCAGTGTTGATTCAGTTCAGTTCAATAAAGTTCATAAATTGTGCATACATACTAAATCCACTGTATTTGTGCACATACACGTACATGTAAGTGCTATGACAAACTCATGCACAATGAACAAGCAAAAGACGTGAGAGTAGTGTTTTACATTTTTCACATCTGCGAAGTTTGGCGTGTATGTCTAATCATTTAATGGTTTGTGTGTAGAGTTACTACACAAAAACGTTTTTTTTACAGTTTTTCTCGCTTGTTTACACACATTTTCTGGTACTTGAGACACAATGACCACAACATGTAACTCATTCACCAACCCCCTGAACCAATTCTACTGAACTACAAGCACAATTCCTGCTTTACACTCAAATTGCAGTTCTAAAACACACTTTTTTCAAAACACTACACACAATTCTCATGCAGAAAATCTCTTGTTTTCATGAGGAACACACTGCCATTCAAATATTCAAACTGACTCGTCACATGGGCAAACACATTTCACACAGTTTTACAATTAGCGATCAGAGCTTTGGCATAAAATACCAAAACCAAAGAGAGGATGCAGCAGACATTTTTTTTTTTTTTTACTGTAACAGCATAAGAAATTCTGTTGTTTTGTATGTAGACCACTGTATGTGCAACTTTGTGTTGGTTGGGGTGTACAAAATGTTGGATCTATCTCCCATTGATTTTGTGGGAAAAATAAAATACATTTGTTACCGTGTATTTGTGTGTTCTGTGTATAAAAAACAATATTCTCAAATATTTTACAACACAGTTATGTATGTAATATCTGTAGTAAGTGTAACACTGAACAAAAAAGGCCTAAGTCATTATGATGAATGGAGAAGAAGTGTTTTCCATTGATCATAGTGTTTTACATTGAGCACATCAGTGTTTAACTGGTTCTTATAAATGTCTATTTATATGATGGTTTGTGTGTGTCATTTGAAAACAAAATACCATTTTGAGAAGAAATAACATTGTTTTGAATGTAAAGTTTCATTTTGCAGGAGAATTGAGGGGTTTTGCCAATTGTGTGAGTGTTTTTAGATTTGTGTGTAGAGTTCTGAGAATATGAGGCATTCTTTCAGAAAATGTGTGTAAACAATCGAGAAAAACTGTAATGGTAGAATCGTTCATTGTTTGTTGATGCTAGTTCACAGTGCAAATTAACTAATTTAACAGATACCAATTTTCTCTGTGAAAATGTATTAGTAAATATCTAAACTAACATTAAGGTTGTAAATGCTGTGAAAATATTGTTCATTGTTAGTTCACGTTAACTGTTAACTCTAAACATTATAACTGAAATGAAACATTTCATTATAAAATGAAACAGTGTTACCCCTTCAAATGATTTGAGTTAACTCATTGGATTTTTCAGTATACAGGCACATCCTAGCAAGTAAGGGTAAAAAACGTTAAGTGTGTGAAGTGCAGCACCTTCGTCATTGAAATCTCACCTGTGTTGCGAGAGTGCTGATGAATGTGCTGTTGTCAAACTCCCATCCATTCGGACACTCCACTACAGGACCTTCTGTGCTGCTGGAGGAGTTTGGCAATAGATGTAACTGAGGATAAGAAAACATGTAACAAGAAGCAGGAGTACCATCGTCCTGCACTGGAATACTGGCAGCCAGTTTCTGCTCCCGACTCAAATTCCCAAAAATTCCCTCAGCCTCCAGAGAGCTAATGTCACAATGGTGAGACGGGATGGCGGCGATAAAGTTGCTTAATAGAAAGTGGCACGGTATAGTGAATCGTCCGACAAAACTGATGCAAAGAATCATCTTCTGGAACCTGCCGAAACCATTGATCTCCGTAATTAGATCATCAAACTTCATGCTTTTTATTGATGCACAGAATTCCCTCTGTGTCTTCTTACAAAATGCTTGGTGTATATGTGCTGAGTTTTTATGGGATATCAAAGGTTGGTAACTGGAAGTCAGATGCAGCTTGTACTTTGGTCATTAATAAAACTGCTGTGGTTGTATGTCTGTGTTTTAAATGTGTGTATGTGTCCATATTTTCATGTGATCTTTCATCCATAGTAGCTTGTCAGTAGGGGGTGAATGATTTGTAAGTTGTAGTTAATGTTTGTATAAGAGTGTCTCACCATGTGTGCAGTTCATGTGGTTAATGTGTTCGGACATTGACACCTTTTCTTACCAATGAAATCTTGTTAGCAATTGCCATTCACGTTTGGCTAGTATGATGTTTTGTGCATATCTCAGTCTGTTTTTGATCAATTTCCTCGAAATGGAGTTTGCAGAAAAAGGGCAAACTTTGTCTCTAATTACAAGTCATAAAACACCATATTCTCAAGTTACTTTTGTTATTATCTAACATGCTTATTGTGCAAAGAATTTGTGGTTCATAAAACTTCTGTATCAAGAGGATTAAATCAATGTTGCTGCCTTTAATTGGACATTTAACATTGTGTGTACTTGGACTCAAAGAAATCACTTCTATTAATATTCTTCTTTATAGATAAACACTAACAATCTGCATTTTATAAACACTTATAGATAAGCACTAACTCAAGCTTCAAGTTGTACAACATATCTTCCGCAATCATTCCAGAAGTTAGTAAACCAATGCCAAGCCTTGATTTTATTAAACATATTTATAGGCACAAATTATTTGTTGTCCTGTAATTTACTAGGGCCAACATTTCATTTATCCTGGAATAAGTTCTGGCTTTGTGAAACCATTTTTTTCCTTTAAAGCAAATTATAGTATATTGATGAATTAATTATCAAAACAATGGTGTGAGAATGACCGAGTGAAAAGCCTTTGAGCTATTTCTATTTACTATTCGCATATATGTGGAATAATGAGTCCACACAATGCTGACTAAAACAGTAAACACAATGAGAAAACATGCAACACCTCCCTTCAAATTTCTCTTAAAATTGTTTATTTAAACGACACAGTAACACATAAATAGGAAATTGTATGGATCTATGGATGCTATAGTTATGTGTTCTGCAAAATTAAATCATCTTTCCATTTCACCCTACTGCCTTCTTTTTCCTCCATTTTTTGATCCTGTAGTAGTGAACCATCAGTACCCTTCCTGAGATGAGAAGCAAATGTTAAATCTTAAGGGTTCCGTTTCCTGGAAACAATACTAGATAGTTTTTCCACATGATCTTACCTCATTCCCTCAATATCCTCAATAGTCTCAGGCAGACACCTGCCTCGTGTCTCTGGTAGATGATAAGCCACGAAAGAAGCAGAGAGTGCGAGAGAAGACAAGATGACTTGAGAGAAATGGCTCCATATGTCATCCGATAGCAAGATCAGAGGAGCCACAGACACACCGAAACGTGCCACGAAGGAAGTATAGCCCATCCCATTTTGCCTACAGGAAGCAGAACATTTCAATAAATACATATATAATTAGTTGTTGATGCTGGAGATACGTTTTACTTGCATACAACTGAGCATGAAGTTAGATTTCCTACCTTAAAACAGTGGGGAAAAGCTCAGAACTGTATAAAATAACTGTACCAAAAGACGTGGCGGAGCAGCCTTTTCCCAGCACGGCTATTACCGTACGAACCACTTTCTTATCTGAATGGCAAGATAAATCATTGTTGTACTGGATCTTTTCATCAAACCTACATTGTCATTCATTCTTCATGTCAAAAAGTCAATAAGTTGTAAGTCTCTCACCTTTGGGTATGAATATGTTAATCACAAGGCTGATTCCAACTAATAGCAAGGATCCAGCTTGAGTTATGTGTCTTCCAAACTTATCCAACAGATAATAGATGCTCAGTTTGGCAGGAATCTCAATTGCACCATACACAAACTGAGTGAGGTATATATTTAGTCCAAAGCTTGAAATGTTGAAACTAATTCCATAGGCAACAGTGGCGACAGCAAACCTGGCAGTTAGAAAGCAGCAGGAACGTGCAAAATTAGATTAATCTGAACACCCTTTCACTGATGCCACTGTGGTGTGTGTTTGTGATTGTGATTTGACACACCAGGTGATTCCTGTGAGTAAAGCCAGCCTCCTCATCTTAGGAGTCTTGATCAGATCCAGGTATGAATACTTCCTGTTTCCTCTTCCAGTAACTATGATTTTAGCCAACTCCTAGACAGAGAGAGAAAAAACAAGATGTTCAGATGTAAGCAAACTATGCTAAAGTAAAAGCAAGAAAACAAACAGAGACACAATTAACACCATTGTAAACAATGTGTTATTTTATTTTTTTTAGAAATGACAGACTCTCTGATGATGTATACTAGACTTCTCTATTTTTTTGCTCAACCTGCTCTACATTTTTCCTTTTTCAATATTCAGTTTCACTGCTTTAAAGACAAACATAAATAGTGAGTAAAGCCAAAATATTAAATGTCACAGATATATATTCACTGACTAAGAAATAACAGTATTGTTCCTCAGTTATTCCTCTTTGAAAGAAAAAAAAGTATCATCTGTATGGACAGTAATCCTCGTTTGGTTTTTGACTACTTAAAGTGTGTACAATTAAAGTGTGCACAATTTTTTTTTAATCATTTTACTCGTGAGTAAATTACTCAAATTTACTCATGAAGCCACATTAAGATCTCTATATCTCTGGGATTGATACCAAAAGGAAAGTTTGTTAAGAACCAGAATCTAAAAGAAAATTAGAAGAGCTTTTTGCCATTTTTTTAACTGTCACTGTTGGCGTACAATGCAACAAACCTTGCTAAAGTCAACAGATTTGACTAATAGACCTACCAATCTCTGTGTAAAAATAAAAATGATGATGCTGCCATCTTTATAAAGTCATTTTAACCCCCATATAATTTGGCTCCAAATCTCAGGTGAAAATTTTGAACCCCTTTTACAATAGTGTACTCTGTGACTTTTAATATTTTGGCTTTCATCACTATTTATGTTAGTCTTTCTACATAAAAAAAAAAATATAAACAAAATTGTTTCTGAAAAAAAAAAAGTTTCTGAAATTTGGTTGATTTGAGACAGAATTACCTACACAGTACCATTCATTCCTAGCAAAAAATATGCTGCTGATATTTTTACTAACATTTTAGATTTCTTTCTGTAATCTCTCACCTCAGGGTTTATCCTAGCAGTGCTTTCTTTTTTACGATTCATGACAGCACATTTATGAAGATAATTGTAAGCTTTATCTGTCTTCCCATTGGCAATCAGCCACCGAGCCGACTCTGGAATCCACCTATAAAATTATTCACATTAATTATTATTTCATATTGAGAATGTACTGCTTTTACACTCTGATCTGCAAGCGACTTTCTTGGAAAAGACATATGTACCGGATGACTTACAGATATTTTAAGACATCAACTTAGTATTGGTTTATTTATACTCACCACCAAGTGATTATGGCAATAATGTTGGGCAATGAGATGGAAACTGTCAGCCATCTCCAGTCGCGAATAAAGTATGCAATCAGTGAAATGCTCATGAAAGCAAATGTCCAAGACAGGCTGTCAATCACCCCTACAAGCTTTCTGTGCTCAATGCTCACCCACTCCACATCTGATAATGAATGAATGAGGCATTTGAGTTTCATTTTAGAAACACTGCACAAAAATAAAACAATTTAAAATACAATGCTCCTACTCACTGAGTACAGAAGAGATGATGACACTGCCAGTGATGGTAAATCCAGTGAAGAATCTCAGCACTGCAAACATGATGAAGGACGAAGAAAAAGCACTACACAACCCAAAACCCATTCCTGATATATGTGATACCAACAACATTGGCTTACGCCCATACCTGTGTAGAATAATAAGACATGTATCCATGTAGAAACACTACATCAGTGCTAGTACAAACCACCCCAAAAAAAAAACAAAACTAATTTTTGAGCCCGTGTTTTTCTAATGCAACTGGAATTTAAAGGGTCACCAAAATGCACCCAAAAATGTCAGCATTTACTGTCAGAATTTACTCAACATCTTGTTTCCTAACATGTATGACTTTCCAACACATTCTCACCCCAAGGCGTCACCTTTGACCATGCTTCAATATTTGACGTTTTAGGCGCCCTTTAGCGTCACTTACATGACGCGATTCTACGGCGTCATCTAACTGACGCTAAAGGAAAGCGTCAGTTAGAGGACGCGGTTAGGTTTAGGTGTGGGGTGGGGGTAGGGTACACGCGATCCTAGGGCGTCATCTAACTGACGCTAAAGGGTGCCTAAAGCGTCAGATATTGAAGCATGGTCAAATGCTTCCCAAGGCGTCAGTTAGGTGACGCCTTGGGAGTGAGAATGGGCTGGACTTTCTTCTTTGGAAATTTTGTGGATTTTTTTTAACCATAATGGAAACTAATGGTTACCAGAACTGATTGTGTTTCAGAAAAGAAACTCATATAGGTTTGGAGCATCATAAGTCAATTACGACAGAATTTTCATTTTATGGTGAACTATGCCTTTAAGAAATGTATTGAGCAAATTTTGAGATGGTAAAAACCCCATATAAATGTTTATATCCAGTTTAGTTGCACTAACATTGCACTCAGGCTCCCGTAAGCTGCTGCTCCAAACATGACCCCAATGAAGAAGATGGTGGTTGTCAATCTGCTCAGTGCTTTGTGGTCACACACTAAATTCCACTGAACAGAAAGAAAGAGAGAGAAAGAGGCCACAATTAGAATAGAATACAATAAATCAGCGATACATAAAAAGCAAGAGACTACCTGTGTGGCGAGAGTGCTGATGAATGTGCTGTTGTCAAACTCCCATCCATTCTGACACTCCACTACAGGAAGTTCTGTGCTGCTCGAGGAGTTCATCAGCAGGTGGAACTGAGGATACGCGAACATGTGACAGGAAGCAGGAGTCCCATCCTCCTGTGCAGGAATACCGACAGTCAGTCTCTCTTCTCGACTCAGATTCCCAAGGATCCCGTCAGCATTCAGAGAGCTGATATC